CCATAATGTTAATCTTTGAATAAGCTCGGACCGTGCAAAACACCCAACACGAGACAACTCTTCCCATTTTCTTAGCGCTAATAAAATAGCACAATATTTTGACGAACTCTAAGATTGACAGGGCTTTTTGAAAAGTTCTTCTCCCCTCATTTGCTTTGAACCTACTCTATCGAACATCTCGCTTTGGTAAATTGTTTTCTTTTCTTGCATTCTATTCAAACCTGTCACAGTGAATTTTTTCCTCGCATCCTTCCGTTTTACAAAGAGAGCGTTACCTGAGTGGCGAGTAATCTTGATTTCAAGACCTCATTTCGAGACGTCATGGTTTTGATTCTTTTCTTTTTCATAATTCTTGCTCACAAATCCAGCGCAAAGGTTGCCCTTTCCTTGAAAGTGCATGTTATAAGCCTGAGAAACACATCAAATTTCCTATGCAAAATGAGTGATGCTTTATTTACATCAAAGCTCCCTGCCCGCCTGTCTGACGTAATATTACTACAAAGTAAAATTAAAGGCAAGCCTAGATGCAGTTTTGCAAGCAAACTGCATTTACTTTCTATTATTTCTATTACTTTATCGACTTCCGGCAACTGTACCACAAATTTGCAGACTGTAGTGCTAAATTTACCAAAAAAAGGTCCTCACCAAAGATTTACCTTCTTTAGATATGTTCAATTGTGCTTTCGGTTTCTAGATGACTTTGACGCTGTTACTGCAAGTTTGGTTAAATGTATATGTGTGATAAAATAAAATCTAAGTGAATAGAAGTAAAAATAAAAGTAATAAAATCTGAAAATAACAACGAGTATAATGATCAATAAACAACAAGAACGATAAGTAAATAATAAATTAGAAGTAGCATGGATTTAAAATGAGTGAGTTGCACTATTTTCCAGATTATGCATAGATGGGATTAATCAATGAACAAAACTGCAAAGCATTAAGATCACTTGGAGAGCTGATTCCTAGATGAGCAATAAATTGAAATTATGATACGTGTTGTGCAAAAGATAAATAATTGTGCTAGAAAAGAATTGCATGAAAAGATATCAAACAAAATAAATTGCGAAACTTGCAACTTCAAGTACTTAAATCTGCTTGGACAAAATTCACTGAGCCCCTATATGTTTTTGTGAACATGTTTTGATATGTGGAAAGGTAAAGGGGCGGGTTTGCGACTCCCCAATTTACCGAAGCGTAGCTTTGTGTGAATTTAAATCTTAGTCATGATGATCTTAAACATGATGAGTCTTAGTCTGCTAGCAGCGCTCGTATAGGTTTCCCCCGTCCGAGCTCC